TAAAGAAACTAAATCACAACTACAACCCGAGTGAATCATATTAGGCTGAATGTATATTAGCCTATTGTTCCAATACATTGACATGTGAGTTTTCAAAGCAACATGATGCAACTACCGTAACAGTGTTCAAAATAGGCCACATCTGTGTTGCCACAACAGCAAGTGTAAAACACAGAAAAAAACCTGCAAGTTTATTTAACAAGTCAAGGGGAATGATGGTCTTAAAAGTAATAAAAATAACTGCTAAATATGGATAAACTGCACTGGCAAACGATAACAGCTGCTGCACACAGGCACTTACCAATAGATATATGGACTTTTAGAGAATAGCTGATAATGTACATGCTCCACACTTACCACAATGCAACTACAAAGGTGTTTCGATTCCTCCCATAGATCATGCTGGGAGGGAACACACTACAGAGGTGTATACACGTTCGTGGTGTGTTTAAAAGGTTAGTAAATCAACCCCACTATGTCTCTAGTTATTGCTGAACTAAGAATAAAAATGCAATGAATGTTGCAGATCCCTTCACATCAACTAAGAGCAGCATCCTCTAATCGAGGGAAGAGAATGGAGAGCATTTAAGTTCTGTATGAGGCTTCATTCACATATAGTGTTTGCATTTCCCACCCGCGTTTCCGGAAGACCGAGCGGCACGCAAACGCTAAAATCTTTCATCTGCACGGATTCTGCTCGTTTGCAGCTATTCGTCCGTCAATAAAATCCCGCTTGGACTATTTTGTGGTTTGCGCGGCTTCATACCATGCGGCAACCACAAAAGTCTGAACAATGCACATTAAAGGGCATTGTTTTTTTATGTTTAGAGCCGCTCCGCGCTTATTCGTACAGCCGAATACACGCTGGCAACCGCTCCTTTGCGAATGGAGCCTAAATCTGTATTGGGTTTAACTGATGCTGCTGCTACCTTTAGGTAGCTAGCAGGGGAACATCATCTTTCTCGCATAAAGTTCGGTATTTTCTAACCTGACTGGTATGTACGATGATACGATTGAAAATAAGGATTGGGGAACATATTTGGTGTTGGTTGTTATCCAAAGACACTCCGACCTTCCAATAATTCTAAACATTTTATGCAAATTCATAATGGAGATGTGTCATGTTTCTCTTTTGAGCAGAGAGGGGGAGGTTATTGACCAGGGGTGAGGATTGTTATAGAAAACTGAAGAATGCGAAACATTTTGGATACACAGGCTAGGATCCCACAAGGATCATTGGGATCTGGATCTGTTTTTAAAATTGAACATTACATTGTCACTTTAATATCAACTAGGAAAATATTCTGTAACTATTCTCATACAGTATCGGACTGTATCAATTGTAATGTATTTCATCACAGAACGGATATAAGTAACTGAATCTGTGTTGACATCAGCTCACTGTAATCTCCTGCATAACAGCGTTTTGACTGAGAGAAGTCAGCATTCAGATTATCTTCTCGTTCTGCACAATATTGTCTATGAAAGCACAGGATGACATTGTTTGCTACTGCCTCTTCACTGACCAGCGACCAACAGAGGTGGGTTTTGGATAATGCTTTACTGCTTAACTGCAGTATCGTCCATGGCCAGAGGGTCAGGAACTTGAAGTGGTTTTCTGATCACAATACAGAATTACGTTATTTGATAGGTAGGAAAGTTCACATATATTCATTTAAACTATGTATTTAGCAGTTTGTCTGATGTCCAGCTTTAACCTCCTTAAATATCAATGCCTCAATACACACAAGAAAAGCCAACCTTAGGCATGACCAAAACAGAGTGACTGTTTTGGAAGGCACAATTTTCCTTAGAACAGAAATTCTGCCTTTGTAAAAGGAAAACATAGATTTATCTACAAACAAACACACACAGGAAGGACAATTTAAAGAAACTAAATCACAACTACAACCCGAGTGAATCATATTAGGCTGAATGTATATTAGCCTATTGTTCCAATACATTGACATGTGAGTTTTCAAAGCAACATGATGCAACTACCGTAACAGTGTTCAAAATAGGCCACATCTGTGTTGCCACAACAGCAAGTGTAAAACACAGAAAAAAACCTGCAAGTTTATTTAACAAGTCAAGGGGAATGATGGTCTTAAAAGTAATAAAAATAACTGCTAAATATGGATAAACTGCACTGGCAAACGATAACAGCTGCTGCACACAGGCACTTACCAATAGATATATGGACTTTTAGAGAATAGCTGATAATGTACATGCTCCACACTTACCACAATGCTGGATCAACACATTGGTGACCTAGTTTGCATAAAGATTGACTGTTGCAAGCCAGGGATGGACAAATTAATATGGAATTCAGGAGCCAATGTGTCCAGTCCAGGAGCTGGCTCCATTGACAACAACTAGAGAAAAGCTCAAAAGTTAGGCAACAGCTGTAATTGTTAACGAGCACTGACTACCTGGCTCATAAGATTTGTCCAACCCTGTTGTAACCTTCACAGAGTTGGTATCTATGGTAGCGCTGTCATTTAGAAAGAACTTGTAAGTAAGGCCAACATACAAGGATTAATATATTAGTGTAACTCAACAAAACTTGAAACCTGTGTAAACCTTAAGTCAGCTGTTACCCTATTGCCTACATCCAGATGGAATAACATTTGGAGAACACTTAAATCTGCAATAATTGTGGCCACAAGTTACATTTGATAAAGTCCATGATAGCGTGGGCAGCCATCTCTGGCTCAGATAATTGTGCAGGTCTTAATAATTTGCATGGCTGCATAATGGCAAAACAATGAGGCCATTTTACAGGGCAAATTATATCCTGTGGTGCAAATGCTGCTCCCTAACAATTGATCAACATTCCAGGATGGTTAAAATATATTTTGACTTTTGCAGTCAAACTGGGATAACGCCCACTTTATATTTGTTCCATGTCCCCATTCATGTGGCATAACTTGCAAACATAAAATCAAATTTGCTGCTTACTCTTTTCGTGCTGAAAAAATCTTAGTTAGCTTTTCCTATGTAATGTTAAGAAGGGGACAGTGAGAAGTTATCTTTACAATTTCAACACGGTCTGATCTAACAAAAGGTTAAAAATCTCAAGGCTTGGATTCTGCTTTGTATGTTAATGTACTTTATAGGGTGCACCGATATTTCGGCCGCCGAAACGTATTGGCCGAAAATTGCACTTTTTGCAAAATGTCGAAAGTGCCATTTGTTGGCTGAAATAGCGGCGCATCCCTGCTTTCTCTCCTTTCTGCTGGGCGCTGTCACAGGAGGCTGAGCGGTGCTGTGAGTGGCAGGCGTCTCTCCTCCCCGCACCGCTCAGTCTCCTGTGACAAATCAGGAGAGCGGCGGTGTGGGTGGTGACAGCTGTCACAGGAGGCCGGTCGGCTGTGCCGGAGAGGAGTTAGCTGTCAGATCAAGATCTCCTCCCTGCACCGCTCTCTCAGCCTCCTGTGATAGCCAGTCAGGATGGAGAACGGAGTACAAGCACTCAGCGATCAGTGATCGCTGAGTGTTTGTAAATAACTGAGGACATTGTATGTTTACTGTGTCTTCAATTATGAATGATTGGGAAGTGATCTACATCAATCCTGTTCATTCATAATTGTGGATATAGTAAACACACTATATCCACAAGTTATGAATGAACAGCAACACTCAGTATAGAGGATTCCTGTTCATTTATAACAGGGCTGCAGAAAAAGAGATTGAGGGCTGTGTTCTCAATCTTTTTTTCTATTTCAAAAGGGAAATATCAGGGATCTGTTTAGACCCCTAATATTTCCCCAAAGCCCCCAACATATTTAATAAAAATAAATAAAAATTAAATATAAAAAAAATTAAAAAGTTTATTAAAAATAAAATATTTTAAAAAATTTGAAAAAAACAAAACATTTTTGGTTTCGGCCTGACATTTTTTTCATTTCGTTTTTGAAATTTTCATTTTGGTGCACCTCTAGTACTTAAAAAAATATCCCTGTTTGTCCATTATCTTCACATTGACATATATTTAAAGCAATAGAAGCTGTAGAGTTCTATGTACAGTCCTGCAGTTCCAAACAAACAGCTAAAAAGGTAATAAGCATGTTTAGAATTATTTTTAGGAATGCTGTGTGTATGGTAACACATAAACATATTCAGGGGTTTCTCAAATTTGACTGCAAAAGGTGGAAATACACTTTAATGTCTTGATCACGCTGCTAAAAAAAACAAGTTAATGAATATCGGAATTAAGTTAAATAACTTCTTCAGATTCAAAATGTCAATAAACTTTTATAACAAATTCTGAAACAAAAAGTGAAATACATTTCCACTTGCTTTGTTTACTTTTAAAGATTTGGAGGCTTTTTCCTGGAGAAGCTAATCTGAAGGGAATGAGTGACCTTACTCCTTATTAGGGTTTGTATATTAGTAAATCGTTAAGTGCATTTTACCCCCATGACATACACAATATATACAGGTGAAACTCGAATAATTAGAATATCGGGCAAAGTTCATTTATTTCACTAATGCAACTTAAAAGGTGAAACTAATATATGAGATAGACTCATTACATGCAAAGCAAGATAATTCAAGCCGTGATTTGTCATAATTGTGATGATTATGGCTTACAGCTCATGAAAACCCCAAGAACCCCAAATCCACAACCTCAAAAAAGTAGATTATTACATGCAATCAATAAAACAAGGATTGTACATAGAACAATATCGGACCTCTGAAAAGTACAAGCATGCATATGTACTCAGTACTTGGTTTGGGCCCCTTTTGCAGCAATTACTGCAATTACTTTTGCACGATATTCTAATTATTCGAGTTTCACCTGTACATAAACATAGCTCTCACTCATATACACTCATAAATAATACACATATGTATTATTTAAAATGTCTTCAATTTCAAAAACGTTCTATAAGGCAAATGTGTTAACTGGCGCTATTAACTAAAAACACTGATTTAATTATTCACTTTGAAAGATTCTTAAACCATAAGCATTGTATGGTGGTATTCAAACTTACCCCATCAGTGCCAGTTTGGACCTGTCCATTGAAACTGAGGGTACGGAAGGGAGAGTGAGTAGAGAGGCGTTTATCCCACTCACTGGGCCGTGATGCAGGCACTGACTCCATGAAACTTTTCTTCAGCTCACGAATACTGGCATGATGTTTAATGCTCTCCTCCTGAGTCCGGGTCTCTAAATCCTGAGAAGTTTTTGGAAAGGTGGACAGTTGGATAAGCAGTAGAATAGTAGAAGATGGAAGTTTACAAGTGAAGAGGAGATAGAAAAGATAAGAGTAAGAAAGAAAAACAAGGAAGGCAAAGAAAAGAAGAATGGTAAGCAGTTGGGGAGGTAGAAGCTGATATCTTGAGGACAGAGCACAATTTAGCCAAAGCTTATAGCCTGTAACATGTTGTTTAGTGGCAAGAATCTTAGCTTGATCACAAGAATGAAAAATGCCCACATCCAACCAGATGAATAATGCAGCCATATCGAACCATTTAGCACATACTGTTCAGATAAAAAAAAAGGTAACAGTGTGTAAATGAAGGCTGTATGCGTATAGTACACTTGAAACAGTTAGGCTTTTGTGCAGGTGCTGTAGCCAAAGGTCTGCATAGGACCCATGTCTATAGGAATGAGTATTCAGTGGATTATAGAAACAGAGCTTGAATCCACAAATTAACCAAAGGGTAAAGCAGCTAGAAATGGCCATATATTTTAGATAATATGGAAGGAATGCTAAAGAGGCCATGATATAGGCATATTTACTAACATTTGCTCAAAGCAGAATCTGCCCTAGATTTGGAAATGTCCATAGTAAACTCTAAAATCCTCTGTTATGTAAAACAAAATTACTAATTGGTTAATCCCAAGCACCAACCCTACACACGATTATAAAAAGTAGTAATGGTTTACCCTTCCTTAACTAAATACCATTAGATTTCACAATGGTTCTGTTTCCATGAAATAATTACGATTAAAAAAAAGCCCCCCATTTTTAAATATCACTGCACTCCTACTAATACAGCGGGGATACAGCAAGCATAATTTTTCAGCACCAGTTTGTATCTTTTGGTTCGGTGCTGAATCTGGACACAATCATTAAAGGAGAACTACGGGATGAGTGAAATACACTCATCCCCACATTTAGGGCCGATATGCGACACTGCAGCTGTCACACATCGGCTCTATTGATCAAGAACTGAGAGATCACATACCACTGATCGCTCGGTTCACAATCTAGTTCCTGCAGAGATTAGTGACTGGCAGTCACCACTCTCTATAGGGATTCCCCCCTCCCCTTTCTGGACTGGAGAGACAGACGGGGGGGACACAGATAGCTCTGGCTCTAGAGAGGCAGAGCCAGCTGTCAATCTTTCCCAGCTACAGCGCATCTCTGTTCTGTCAGCATATAGCGGGCAATATGCTGCGTTTTGGGTCACAGGAAAACATTAGTAAACTTACCCATGTGACCCAAAAGAGAGCTAATGCCAAAAAAGGTTTGGCCATAGTCCTCTTTTAAGAAAAAAATCAAGAAAATAAAACCCTTTCTATGGCACAGTTCACAAGCTGAAAATTGGGCATCTCATTTGTATTGTACAGGGCTTACAAGTGGGTGCAATGATGCACAGAAAGACATTCTCTTCTCCTACACAGACCACAACTAGCGCAGACCTAAGGAGCTAGTGTGTTCAAAAGAATGTGTGCTGTTCGAAGCTTCTATTTACCCTTAACTAAGGTGGAATATGAATAAGTGTATTACATCTGATTCCACATGTTTCACCACACAGGCTTTATCAGATATTTAAATGTTAAAAGACAAAAGCAGTTTAAAGCTGTTGCAGCACTGTTAAAGTTGCATCACATTGTTTGACACATTCAAGTTCCAGTGGCTTAATTAAAACTGAAAATTTCAGATGGCAGAAGCACATACACTGAACTCAGTAATCACTTTTATAAGCACAAAAATGTAACACGCAAAGCAAGACCAGAAAGGTTTCACATCACTAAGATAATGTCCCTGAAACAAGTATGCTGAAAACCACAGATACAAGCAGCAAGGTCTCCAGACATGAACACGTGTTAAATACATTGGAGAACATACAACATATTACATTAAATAAAGAAGCACGCATGCAAAAAAAAATGAACATGCAGACAGTGCCCGCAGGTATTTCTGCAGGTAGGTAGGTACACACTAGAAAACAAAACAAAAAAGGAAAGACATCAAAAGTCCAGACAACAGGGGGTTACAGACTGCAAGAATTTATACCAACCTCCAACATTAAATTGCTATGTCTGATATAAATGTTTTCCCCCTCTAGTTTCTTTGCTCTTTTCTGCAAAGTGAAAAAGTAGAAATTCCGTATAAATGGAAAACAGACAATGACGAATAGTTGAGAAAAGTAAAGAGATAAGAGGTACTCTTTCCGTCATATTGCAAGCCGCTCAAAAAAGTAAAATTGAGATCTATCATCTGCAAAACGTCTCTCTACTGCTGAACGTTGAACTAGCCACCTTTCTGAATGTAGAAATAGATGTCCTGTTATACAGCAGTTATTCCCAGGTAAGTGGTTAAATGTCAGTTTGTAAAGTGCATTTCCTCTTTTGGAGAAAAATCAATACAGCACCTATTTTATACTTGTTACGTTGTTTCCATTCACATTGCAAAGTTTGAAACAAATAATTAAAAATTACTCCTTGTCTTTTTACTTGCTGAAAAATTGTATTTAGCTTCCCCTTTTATGTAATGTTAAGGAGGGGGCTGGGGAGTAGAGCTTGCCATTATTAACCCTGTCTGTACTGTGCTGATCTCCATTATCAGTCTGTACTGTGCTGACAGATCTCCATTGTCTGTTGTAAAATGAAATGTGAACACTATCTGTACTAAGGGTTAAAGGCTTGGATTGTTCATTGTATGTTAATGCACTTTAAAGGGAAAAAGTCCCTAACTCCACACTACAATCTATTCTAAGCAACTGTGGTGTCCTATGTATAAATCAGAAAAGAAACAACTAGAAAAGTAATACATATTTTGAAGAGGACCTAATTCAATGCTATATTTGATATACCTATATTTTATTTTTAGGTAAGTAGCAGCAAAGACAAGGAAAATATAATTCATTAGTTCAGTTTGCTTTAAATCAGAAGCCAAAAAGACTGCTTCTAAATCAGAAGCCAAAAATGAACTAAACTTTGGAAGCTGTGGCCCATAAAAGGAGGCAGAGGGCAAAGCAATAGCCACAAGTATTGCCTTCGGTCTCCCTGAAGCTGATCTTTCCCTTGTTTCTGACTTACAATTTCTTGTTCTTCGCAGTATCTCTCTATGGTGGTGGCCATTTAGATAGAGGCAGGGTTTTTTTTCCCCAGCAAGGAGAACAGTGAGCAGCATAATAGTATTATCACCAAATCTCAATCCAAACCTAGTAACAGTAGCAGTCAGATGCAGCAGTGCCTTAAATAAGAACTCCAGGAATATTGTTTTGTAAAATACCACAAGTTAAATAGTTGCCTCTAATTAAGACATATTCTAACTCTAGATAGCTGCTGGTTACTACAAAAATCATGGCCGGTTTAAATTCAGATCCTACACACTGCGCTATACTTTCGGAGCTGCGGGGATGAAGAGCTGCGTCTGTGACAGTGAGGGCTTCACTCCTATACCTGCCCCTTCTCTCCCCTTGTCCATTCACAAAAAGCCTTGTATTAATTTGACAGAATACAAAGCATTCTGTAAACGGAGAAGGGGAGTGGAGGAGCGTGTCTACAACTGGATCTCCTCTTCTCCATTCACAGAATGCCTTGTGTTATGTGAAAAGTATTTAACACTTCTTATGAATAGATGAGGGGAGAGGAGGGGGCAGGTATATAACTAGAGACCTTCCCTGTCACAGTTGCATCTATTTATCCCTGCAGCATAGTGTTGTGTGTGAAGGATCCCGAATCAGAGCCTTTACAATTTTTGCCATAACCAGCAGCCATCCAGACCTAGGAAAGTCTTAATTACAGTTAACTTTTTTTCTTTGGTGTTTGCAAAAAATGTTTTATCCTGGCGTTCCATTTAAATAGCACACTACAGATATACAGCTATGGTGCTGTAGGTCCAGGAGTACCTATGCACACACTAACATACCATGAAGTGCACTGCTATTTTTCAGAACCAATACAAGAGAACATTTGTAATTTTTCTGGGTACTGCTTAGCCACATATACTTCCCTATACTATGGCAAATTTTTAGTTCAGCCCACTTTAAATATATACGTTGCAAAATTCATGATGAGTAATAACGACTTTTATATCTTTTAATAGGAGGTGATAGGGGAATACTGTACTCTATTCTAGACAGGAATGCTTTTCTGGAAAAAAAAACCATATCCAGTGTATGCAATTCTGACCAGAGACAATTGTCTTCTATGTATCAGAATTGTAAAGAAAATGTGTGCAGCACTTTGCTAAGCTTGGTTAAATATTGTTTGTTTTAGCAAGCTCAGAATGAGGATGGGGACATATGAGCACACAAAGCATGTTCTATAAAAATAATAGGAAAACTTTCCATATGTGGACTGCAACCCACTAAATGGCCAAAAGAAAAATTGAGGCCAGGTATAACGTTTGGGGAATCCAGTATGCTTCAACTTTCAATAAAAATTATGGCTGTCAAAAATCTTACCCAAAGTCATAAGTTAAGAAGAGCTAACCTTTTTTTTTTTAGTATTGAATAGAATGGTAAAGAGTTACAACTTATCAGGGTTAAAATACTGTGTCTCCTCTTCTCATGCCTGATATCCTTCATACAAAATAGTGTAAATTACATCAGTGTGGACACATAGAAATAAAATCAGTCAGAGTTTATCCTTTCCAACTCTATCCGGAACTAAAAAAAAACCTGGGTTGAGAGGATTTCATTATACTGAAAAAGTTTTTAAAAAGGTAATGCAGGATGGTATACAGAATTAAAGACATCCTGAAATGCTATGTGCATTAAAAGGAATGCATATTGGATATGAGAAAGAGCCAAAAAGAGGGTGTGCAAATATTGTTATAGTCCATAAATGCCTTTGGCAAAAGTGGTGATGATGAATACATTTCTAATCAGATTCTGCTTTGACCTAAATAAAGCATAAAACAGAGAAGGCTAGCAACATATAAAATATACTAAAACATGAAATATTGTTGTAAAATAATAATACAAGAGTTTATTGAATAATAAAAGTTCAATAAAGCAACTGGCCATAGCAAACCTATTAGTCATCTTTCACAGAACAGACACAAAACTGATGACAGATGGAATGGAATGTCTAAATAGAGCATATTCTACTTTGTCATGATAATGATACTTAAGCGGTGTATAAAAAGCCACACACACACGTGAATGGAAGAACTGTTGAGAATGATAGTAATTTATAGGGAGACAGCAAATTTGACTAATTTATCATCTGCAATAAGCAATCCACCCAAGAAAATGTAGACCTGCTTAGTTTTTTCCTGTGTTATGGCTCGAAGAAAAAGTTCAGAATTCTCTGAACATACTGACTGCATATAAAAAAAATCCTGCTAAGAAGGCATATGGGTTCCTGAGCAATGATGTCACTTGTGCTAACCTCCATGATAAAATAGCTTTGTTAAGTACAACTCTTGGTGAGGGCACAAACTCCTCTTTTCTAAGAGCACTTTCACACTGATACGTATGTATTTAGGAATCTAGTATATACTGTACTTGGTCTTCTTGTTCTTACTTCCTTTGAGTGGACTGCACATAAAAATGTAGCTTCTATCTCCCTTGTATAGAGCTAGGTGACAAAGATAATGCTGAACAAACACTGCTAACCTTCCTCATGCGGATTATGTCATCCTCTTTTTCAGCAGGCTGCTGTAAGGTTGTAAAAGGAAATTAAAAGACAAACAAAATAGGTATTAATTTAAAAACAAACAACTTATAGAATGGCAGTGAAAAACTGCAACAAGTCTTGGAATAACATGCAGGATCAATCAGTGGGAACAAACATGCATTGCACTTTTTTTTGTCTGACCATTTTTGTGCAAACTGTGATCTGTGTATGTCTGCATAAAACCGCTTTTGTAAAATATTGTAAGTTTTATTAGTCAAGGGTAAGCGCCATGTGCGAAGGCTTGCTTCTGGCATGTGGTAACATGTGAATCCTACATTCTATTTCATTCCCCTTACAAATAACGTGTGAATTCCTGTCCACCATATAAACTGATCATCTTGGATTACCCTAAGCATTCTGGTTTAAGCTTTCTATGTAGTTCTAAGCAGTCAATCCATCTATGACCGAAGCTAGATAACTTGTTACAGCAGATTCATGAAACACTATTATAACCAACCTGCACTTGCTCTCCATTAACAGCGGGTGATGGAGAACCCTGTGGGGACCTCTTTATGTCCTAAACAGGAAAAAAATAAATAACATTACAAACACAATACAACCAGTAACCCTGGGAAGTTGGCCATCCTGGTGGGCACTGTTCACTACTCTAAGAAAAAGTGCTACAGTAAAGGTTTTCATCTCATAATGAGAAACAACTCTTAAGGAAATGCAAGGATAAAAAACAAAATGTAGCTGCTGTCATGCTTTTAAAAGTGCAGGCTCCAGGGCTGCCTTCATGATTCTGGCTTCACCAGCTGTTAAATCACTAAACTGGAACAAGTATGGAGCCAGTGATTTCTGAACTCCATCTTACATTCTTGTGCCAGTTCAGTGATACTCTAGGCAATTAAGCCAGAATCACAATGGCAGCCCCAGAGCCTGCACCTTGGAAAACAACTAACTAAAAGGGAAACTCCTGAATTTCTGTCTTCACAGGTTCCATCTATAAGTGCACAGAAGAAAGGTTTATGTCACCAAAATGGGGCTCCACTATCACCTTTATATTTTATTCTCCAAGTGACTCTAATTTAATATTTTTTTCATCATAGAGGTTTCATTTAAAAACTATTAAAGTGACACTAAACTCAGGAGTTAAATCCTACAAAATGCATCCAAGTACCCTAACTATTAACAAAACTGTATCTTATTTGTGTATCACTCAGCTGTAGATCCTCAAATCATCTCTGAATTCATGCTGATATTGTCCTTCCTTCATGGCTACTTTTGTTCCCCATGGTCCCTGTGTATGTTGTAAAGTAGTCACCACTCCAAGCTCAATCCCGTGATGGACTACAATCTCTCCACAAATTAGTAAACTAAACATGAGATTGTAGCCCATCGGGGGGGGGGGCAAACTTGGAGTGATGGCTACTTTAGAACACACACAGGGACCATGGGGAACAAAAGTAGTCACCCTCCAGAAGGAAGGACAGTGTCCGCACCAATTCAGAGATGATTTGAGGATTTACAGCTGAGAGATACACAAATAAGATACATTTGTGTTAATGGTTAAGGTACTTGAATGTATTTTTAAGATTTAACTCCTGAGTTTAGTGTAACTTTAAACATTTAGAATGTCAATGTAGCTAAATAACCAGATTTTAAAAAATAATAACTTTGAAGTAGTATACAGTGAAAAACAATCCCTTCTATCTGAAAGGGCAGAAGCAGCACAATGCAAGTGAGAAAGTGCAGCAATTAGCTGGAGGAGAGGTAAACTCTAAAAATGCTACAACACTCAATTAAACTGTCAACCTGACCAATGTGTCTGCCAATAATATAATACCTGCCTTAGTAGTGGCTTTTTTGGATAATATTAAATTCAATTCAACAAAATGTTCTGAGACGTAATGATAGCAAAGGGAAGAAGTTTCAGTCATTTAGAGTCGCCAATTTAAACAGAGCAGCATTGTCAAAGTGAAGCACTGGTGTCATCAATGACAAAACCTTCATATTCTTTTAGGAGGGGAGAGAACTTCTATAACAAGGTGATACAATAACCTTTGGGGAGATTCTTGGCTCTGGGATCCGCTCCTGAGTTTTCTTTTCTTCAAATTTAGTTGAGGATTCTTCTACTCTGTGAGCAGTAGCCCCTCGGGAAGGTGAAGGTTGTACAACTACCTGGATTGGAGTGATGACAGGTGCAGACACTGGTCGAGGGTTACGTTCAGGGGTGGGCACGGCAGCTGTTAGACATAACAAGGGAGATTAGAAGGTCGCTCTACATTGGATCTTAGCCCTACTGATGGCCCATCAATAACCGTTTCGGCTGTTAAAAGAAAAAAACCCTTTCACATGCTGCCCCCCGTTGTGTTACTCAATAAGCAAGGTAGCAGACCATTAAGTAAACATGCAAAAGGATTAACAGAGCACCTCAGCTGTATTGTGTGGCATATAAATGGCAGTAGATTTATCAATAACCCCTGTGTGCTGGAAAATCGTACCTGTGTGGACAGAACTTTCTCGAATCATCTTAAGCAGTGCTTAAAAATAAAGAATCAGTATGTAAAACGAGTAATATGTGCCATATTAGTCAGCCACAAGAAACTAATGTCATGCATTTTGCAGAAACTGGTCACACAGTACCTAGTTGACCTGCCAAGCAAGATTGATTTAATTTAACACCACACCTTAAATACTGTGTAATGGACCATTCACAAGTGTTTGCTGCATCTAAGATCTTCTGTAATATCTTGTGTAATATATGTGAAATGTTTTTCCTCGGATATTAGCTGAGGAACAGACCAGTCATGGTGCCGCAGATCTTTATTTCAGGCATGATGTGAAATCAAATGATAATTAGCAAAGAATAAGTCTTGTAAATATAAATGTTATTTATTCCTAAAAAAAGCAGCACAGTCTGGCACACAAGGGCTTAGGTAATAAGAGCCAGCAATATCAGCCTCCACACAATTGTACCTGGCTGCTTAGTTTCCACCTTTACTATATGGAGCTGCTCAACGCCATTTATCCCCTCCGGCCTCTTGAGGTCAGACTGGTCAATGTTTTTGAATGTGATCTCTTCTGGAAACAAGTTTGTGAGATAAGTGTGACAGAGACATTGTTGTGATGCCACACACCAGCTAAACAACCTACAAAAAAAAACACTTACAATGCAGCAGATGAATGCCAAATGATATCAGGCCGAGGCTGCAGCAGGGGTCTTCTGTTGCAAATGATGTACAGTACTATTAATTTAGTTGCCTGATTTGTGACCATTATGAGGTAAGCAACATCTGCATATTTTTGAAAGAGAAGCTGCTTACTTAGCTAAAAATATCTTGCAAAAAACCTCACACATGGCAACTCTGCAATCCAAAACATAATAGAATATAACTGTATGCATAGCCAAAACTTTTTATTTAGTTTTTGATAGGGGTTTTAACCCTTCACCATTCTATCAGTTCATTGTTGCTCTCGGTCTCCCAGTAGGGAAATGTCCCTACATCTCCTATTAGACAGTTGTCTACAGAACAGATGGCCCCATTGGAAGATCTTACCTCTTGTTCTGGAAACATCTCTAAAATTTGGGATTTCTCTCACTTTCATTCTCAGTGACAATCACCGGAACAATAGAGGGGTATATCTCCTCACAGAACATATAGACATATAAAAACTTTGCCTCCAAATTGCTGACTGCTGCATGTGCCCTTGTATTTGTGGCTAATTTCATTCTAACTTTCCCTGAGTCCATTCCCCTAAGGATTTCCTTTTGAATTACACCTGATCAAAGGGGTCTGCTTTTGCCCCCAAAACGCATTGGTACTTTGATGCTTTTTACTAATAAAAACTCCTTAGGGCGCTTCTTCGCTTGGTGACGCCTCCATTTTTTAAATTTTTATAAAAACTTGACACAGGGTTTAACCAGTCTCCATTCTATCCAAATGGAAAAAAAAAAAGGTTTTGCCAAGCGATACACTTGTACTAAGAGAAATATAGTGGCTTCTATTCTGACCTCCTGAAAAACCTACATACCCAGCTATCTTTGACCTTGACACCCTAAGAATCACTGACCACGAGCCAGATGTCCTTATCTGCATATTTGTTACAGGTCACAAGACAGCAGGCAACTAAATTTTCCAAACATAAGGTTCATCTACTCAGTACAGGTTTCATTTAAAAAAATACTAACCAAAGAAACAACTGGTTAAATTATAGAATATCTCTAGACGATTTGCATATAAACAAGAGTCACAAACAACACTCCAAGTAACAAAAAGTTCATTTAAAAGCTTTAAAGCAGTGCGGAAAAAGGCTATGGCATGTGTTGAAGTAACACGACTGTTGGCATTGCCAGAAGCAACAAATAACTTAGGGTGTTAAGCTACATATAGCTAATGGGCATAAAGTTCTAAAACGCAAGCTATGAAAAAACAGTATAGCATACAGATGTACAGTACTGTGATAGAAGAAGCATATGCACACCAACACTCTAGAATTAGTGTTGTCATCTAATTTGAACAGTGTCATTATAAAATCCATTTGCAACAGCTAAGAAGCAGAGATGTTCCTTGCTACCAATTAATAATGTGATAGGCTCTTGAACACAATCATTTCTTGTTGACCTTTTGCTGTCCATAGTGTGAATCTACATCAAACATGGCTCAAGCTCTATGAAGAAAGTGTGGCTTTCAAATTTTTTTAATAAAAAGTACAATTATTCTACTGATATTATTTTGTTAAGATCTGTGCGTAAATGGTATAGGTGTCCCTACACATTCCTTTCTTTCTTAGTGGAGACATACAGCGATCTCTGTCCAATGACTGATAATTGAGGCACAGACTTTTAGAGATGGATGAAAGCAGCGTCTACATATGTATCATTTGCTTTATAGTTAAATACATGAAATAATGCAGTAACCTACAACATCATTTAGGTCACGTATCAATGTATGTATGCAACACTGCAGTCCTGTAGTTCTACGAGCTAAGATGAGGCAGAAAATTGCAGAAGGCATAGGACAAAAAGCAGTATGTGCAGGCAGAAAACAGCCTAGAAACTGCTACGTATACCTTTGTAAGACACGGTCGATGGTACAGTTGAAAATGGATTCTCTAACTCAAACACTTCCACGTCATTATCATCATCTTCTAGGGTTCTTACCTCAAATGAGGCATGCTTTTTCTTTGCTGAGGCAAAGATTAGCAAGAATTTGAATTTGTAAGTGTTCAAACAAAACTACTGCTTGAAGAATGCATACTGTACTATAATTGATAAAGGGGTAAGAAAATATTTGAGGTGACAGAGGTTGGACAGACACTGTATATAATCTGCAGGGAACATAACTAATTCAAGCATTCTTTGTAGAAATAACAATATGATATTAAGCACAACTATCACCAGGCATGATGTCAGTAAAATGTAAAGCATGCTGGAAAATCTCAAGTGTGATGTTTGATTGCTCTCTTTCTATTGAAACAAGGGATCACAAAGATAAAACATTGCAGCAGGTTGCCGAGCAATCACATTGAAATATAGGATTTTTGTACTCATCATGAAATTCTTTTGATGGAGCTCATTGAGGTACACTCCTCTGTGGTTATGATCATACTGTCCATACTGCTTTGCTACAAAACTAAGGAAATGCTGCTAGGAGGAGGGGTTCTTATGAGCTGACCTACAGTTTGTTTTTCGGTATAGCCCAAAGATGAAAGGCTTCTTGTGTCCCACAGGACTCCAAGAAATGGATTACAAAATAGAGTATAAAAATCCTTCTTTTACATGGAGTCAGGCTTTAAAAAAAAACCAAACCTTGACAGTAATCTTTAAAGTGGCTCTGTCTTGAGAAAATATGGGGCTACCATAGCAGTTCCTTCTGGAAATGCTAGTAATTTGGCTTTGTCTGACTTTAGTACTTTTGAGCCAGAGACCCAGAACAAGCATGCTGTAATTGAGTGTCACAAAAGTGTAATCGTTTTTTATCTCTATGCTTGTTATGGGTCGCAGACTGTGAGCATTGAAAGCATTAGCATAACAACCAGGGAACTAGCATTCTCAAAAGGTTGCCAGCAGTAGTAGTCTTCTTAGTCCTCCCATGACAGATACCCTTTAGGCTTAAGCCTAACACTTATTATCCCCTCAATGCTCATTTAAATAATTAATTAGCTATGTTAGCAGCAGTGATATACAAAGAATTGTAACCTGTAGCAATCATTCAGATTTCATTTTACTGAAGTCACACCAGTGAAAAAAAAAATCTGGGTTCTTATGGATTACTGTACTTTGCAGATTGGCATATACTGTATACTGTAATGTAAAGAACAAAGACATCTCTGACTGTAAATTGCAGATATTGATGATGCATTATAGCGCTATGGCTGCAGTTTTAATATATCAGTTTGGCAGTATGTATTTTAACAGGCATGGCAAAGTGATGGTGTCCTTTCTGCACATATAATGGAAACTCCTCTATTTACTTGGTTCCAACAAACAGATCTTGGATTATAGTTACTTAGGGCGTTTGTAGGCAGGCTGTGTGGAGGGCTCACTAATCTCTTTGATGAAATCTGCCTTTTTCTATCTCATCCATTGAGGGACACAAAGTCTTTTACCCTTGGGACATCCAAAAGCAAAAGCAGTCCAACTAAGCAAACAAACACTAAAAGGCCCAAGACAACAGAAAACTAGGGACTGCCTGAAGGGCATTATGCTCAAAGTTGTCATCAGATGAGACTGCAATATCCACCTGATAACACTTCAAGAATGTGTGAACCGAAGACCAGGGGGCAGCTTTGCTAATCTGGGAACAGTTGCTTGATGCCAAAAAGCCTAAGAAACATGCACAGATCTATTAGAATGCACCTTGGCAGAGGAGGGGGTCTGAGCCACCTAGAGATGGTGTACCAGTACACCCTTACGGGAACCTTCCAGGATGATAGAAAAGGCAGCCAGTCTTTCTGAAAGAAACAGCAGTTAAGAGATAGACTCTCACAGCCCAAACTACATCCAGACAATGGAGGAAAAATTCCTTTTGGAGCAGACAAGAAAAGGAGTTTCAGAGAAGGAAACGTGTAGTTGTACTGATCTCACAGAGCCACCAAAGCATCCACGGGTTCCACCAGATAATTTTTGTACCTGGAGACAAACCTATTTAGTTTGTTGTTTAACCTGGAAGCAAGGAGTTATACATCCAGTGTCCCCCTCTTGTAACACAGGAGGAGCACTTCCAGGTGTAGGCACCATTCCCCCAGGTCCAGGCACTGCCAGCTGAGAAAGTCTGAAAGCGATTAAACCCTTTCCACAGAACCAGTAGAAAGGGGATAATTATGACACTCAACGCATCTAATAAACAAAGTAGTACTTGGTGCTTGTCACACAGGGCCTACTCATTAATAAATCATCAGAGACAAACCAGAGGCTGTTCCATGGCTTTGGACCTAGAAATCACTCATTGGCTAACTATGCAGTGAGGTCTTGAAAGTGCCACAAGCAGAGCTCAGTGCCTGCTTGTGGCGCTGGTCACATTCTAGGCAGTCCTAATAAATGTCCAGCCCAGTGGGGTCCATGTACAGCCTCCAAACCTATGAACCTATACTAAGGATACAGTTATCAGGACAGCTGGATAAAGAGACAAGCTCAAGCAGCTAGTATATGAATTATTAATTAAAAGGAAGAAAAATTATTAAACAAAAAAAAATAAGAAAGAAACAAATGGCTAGAAAAACAGAAACAAATCTTCTCACTAGAGAAAAGATGTCCTTCCTCCTAGGACACAACCAATAAAAAACTGGAAAGTGGAAGGACTTATACCAGGTGGTCACAGTTTTTGTTTGCCAGTGTCCAAATCCCCCTGTAGGTGGCAGTATATACCAATTGTCTTAGAATCCTGAGTCCCTCAATGAACAAGAAAGAAAATAAGCACAAATAGGTTAGTCTTTTAGACTGCAGAGCAGAAGGAAAGATCCATCCTCTTAGGACAGTTTTTTGTTTGCTAGTGTCCAATCATCCTGTAGGTGGCAGTATAATTTGAAGCGGGAAAGACTTTGTGTTCCTCAATGGACAAGAAACTTTTTTGGGTGGTTTTGGACAGAGTGCGGAAGGGTTAGATAGATGGTCAAGTTTTTACTGTATGTGTCTTCCTGTTGCAATGACAGCAATCCTGCTATTCTTATATATATATTTTACCTTCTCCCTGGTGTTTGAATTAAGGGGAACCTGTGAAATATGTGGGCTATTGCTAAACTTGCTCTGGACGTTCTGGTTCCCTGTCTGTGGCTTTGATACTATCTAATAAACGGAACCAGAATAAGTTAGTAGCCAGTGAAGTTCCAGGTTCCATATTTTATTCAACCCTTTCACTGCCACAGACATATATTATATAATCAATTTTTAAGGCCTAAAATGTGCATTCTAACAGCGCAAAATAAAAAAAAGGGTTAAACTATAGGGTTAGATTACCTATTAAAGAAGAACTCCAGGTAACATTTTTATTAACCCTTGCAGTGGGGTTTCCCCAGCACTGCAAAAGTTAACGGCTCTTTTTATGTCTACAGTTATACTCACCTGAACCGTGGAGCTGGCTTCTTCTTAGACTAGTCCTTCCAGCCTCTCTCCCCCTCCTCTGCAGTGGTCTAAGGTGCCGTAAATCATCACGTTCTATACACTGTGTACAGATGTGAGGATGCTGAGGAACATTTTAATGCTGCAGCGTTGGAGGAGACAGGCTGGAGGGAGCGCTGTGACAGCCAGCTGGCTCGGAGATTCGGGTTAGTATAACTTTATTTTTTAACCTAGACAAAAATGAGCACTTAACCCTTGCAGTGCGGGGGTAGGCCCACTGCAAGGGTTAAGAAAAAGGTTTACTACTTTAAGCTTAAATTTGAATGTATAGATAGGCAAGTTTTAGGTTAATAATTAGGGTCAGGATAATTATTATTGGTAGATAAACGATAGGCTTAAGAGTTTTTACTGAAGGTGTGTGTTAAAAGTAAAGGAAATTCTGAAACAGTCACAACATTTTTCAAACATCCTGCACCAAGAAACAGGGCCGGACTCTCAGAGCTGAAAACGATTGTGCCTTAATGGAAATCCAATCCTTCCCATGTCCACTTAAGTGAAAGTAAATGGCTTGGGAAAAAAAAACCATGCTCTAGGGGTGTTTGACATAATGTGCTAGCATGCACAGCATATAAGCACATTATGGCAAACTTACCTAGTAAACAATGCCCTCCAGCAATGCGCTGCCTGCTCTCCCCTCCGTTGACGGCTGTGCCATTTTCTCCCAGTCTTCTTACGGGTTTGGGGTCTTCGGCGTAGCGACTGGCCGGCTGGCATAATGTAACTCCCACACATGCGCAGCTAGGAGATTATTGGCAGAAGAGACCTACACAGTATCTTTTGCTATACAAAACTGCCTGTATTTTTAAAAGGACAATTTACTTTTATTAAAAAAAAAAAAGGAGCTACAGTTTAATTTTAATACTTAATTCAAGGGATTTAGACCGACTAAGCCAATCTATGGATATTTAGTTAATACTAAATGAAGTTAATACTTCACACAAGAAAGTTAGCAGGCACAGTCAAGGGTTGATCAAGTGAAGATTCTTACACAGTAATAAGATACTAGGTTAATAAAAGGTAAAACATCATACACTCACCTCCATCCAGACTACGTGAGGCTCGCTTACTGGCAGTGCGTTCAAACTGTGGAGCAGGTCTATCTATGAGCGCACTGGCATGTCTAGTCTGGGCTTGTGTGCGCCCACTGTAGCGGAATTTGGATCCCAATGACAAGAATCGGTGTTTAGGGATGGACTCTGTAGATGTCAACCTGAAAGGAAAATATAGGTGTAATACTTGCAGACCATGAAACCATTTTAAAAATAGTTTGGTCACACGTCTTGGATCCAGAACCAACCTGAAAAATGTGTGGTGCTCCACACAGACCTTCCAAAGTTTTTTTGCAGCTCTGTAACTGGGCAGCTTAAATCCTATAGTGCTCTCATACTGCTCTTGCTATTGGGAGAAAAGATCATGTTAATATACAACATCTAAAACATCTAAAACATCCAAACAACCCAACTAGGGTTGAGAAAACATGTGTTCCACCAGACGTTCATCTAATCCACTTTGACGGCTTTAAATTCAAGGGTATTTTTTCACTAGGATTTTGACATTTATTTTTTTTGTCCCATAATATTTGGGCCCCCACTGGAATTGTCTGCCTGATGCTGAAGAATATACAAAACAGAAAGAACCATTGCTATGTGGTCTTAGAATCAAACGCATTTTTGCCCACTGTAAACAATAAAGAAAAGCATGCTCATTCCACAGTTTGACATGTCTCAGTTCTGTCTAGTCAGAGGCAAACAGAAAGGAAACAGCTGCTCACATAGAGATTGTTGTTTGTTACTACACTGTCAGCCTGTATACATAAGCTCGAATGATGGGATGTGAACAGAGCAAAATAGATTATGACCTACTTTTTCGCATCAAAAAGCTCTACCATCAGTGTTATTAAGAAGCCAATGTGGACTGTCAGCTCATGTCTACAAAGAGATCCTAATGTTTATTAAAGTTAACCTCAAGGCACAAAAACTTTGATCTAAATATATAACCACAAAGGATGTAAATCAACTTTGTGCACACCAAATGTCTTTGTGAACCTAGCCATTACATTAAAAAAGTAGCAGTGACGCCATCACATTGTTGTACATAGCCTGTGCAGACAGCAGAGGTGTATGAGGGACCCGACAAGTTCACCCACTACAGACTACCTGCAGAAAACTACAGGAGGGGAGCGGATACAAGACTAGTCACCTTTAACAAGGAGAAGGTGAAGTAGTGAGTAGTCTTAATTCAGGAAGCTCCTGCACAGAGGCAACGTTTTACATTGGACTGATGCACAGATCTGGAAGAAATAATCAAAGCACACCAAGGTTTAGGTAAGAATTAGGGCTGCGACAACTAATCGGTGAAAATCGATAATGAGAATCATTGTCAACTATTCCCATTAACGAATAGTTGATTCTGCGATTAGTTGCTGCTGTCGCCGCCCCACCGTTCGCTCCTCCTCTCTGGGAGCCGCTGAATGCAGCTGTCTGTGTCCCCTTTCCTCCCCGCCTGTATCAGCACCTGTCACAGCCACTCTGCCACTACATTCCCTGTGCCTCTATTGCTCCCGTGCTCGTGGTGCCTCTCTTGTGTCCCCCCATGACCGCGCTGCCTCTCTGTTGTGCCCCTCTGTGGCCCCGTCCCCCCTCTTCTGCTTTCTGTGTTAGAAAGCCAGTGACCCCTAATGTCACCTTAAAGGGAACCTGTCACTCCAATGTGCTATCACATAGGGGGTTAGTAAAAAAAAAAAAAAAAAAGGCTAAATTAAATTAAAAATACCACAAAAAAAAGACCCCTGCGAACGCGTGCACACCAATGGAAGAGTTAGTAAAAAAAAAAAAAAAAAAGGCTAAATTAAATTAAAAATACCAACAAAAAAAGACCCCTGCGAACGCGTGCACACCAATGGAAACACAAGTCGGGTACACCTACTGTACGTATGAAAACAATGATTGTGCCAATTTTGGTGTGTTATTTTAAATAAAAGGTTGGTTATTTTATTATACTGGCTTGGAGTTTTTCAATTCAGATTATTTAAAATCCATGAAACTAATTAAAATTTTTAATGTAATGCATACAATTATTAAAACATTTTTTTTAAAGTTGGGAAAAAGTACATTTTTGGTTTTGGCCTAATAAATTCTGCTGCGGAATATGCAATGCAGTGCCATTCACCCCAAATGCGCTTCCAGCCCGCAATGTGATTGCCCACACTGGAATGCGCCGTACTTCAATGCCGTGCATTCCAGTGCGGTGATTACAAAAAACTGTGCATGCAGTTTTATACTGAAATAGTACGTTTGTAAAACTCCACTTGTGTGTTTTAAATAAAATATATATTTTTTAAATCCGATTAGTCGATTAATTGAAAAAAAAAATATATGAATGATTATTATTATATTTAATTATTATGAAAATAATTGTTAGTTGCAGCACTAGAAAGAATACAAGTCTCTTGTATTTAGAAAATATTTGCTTATCCTGGAGTTCAGCTTTAATGTGGCACCATCTCCAGTTATATGACACACAGAAAGCAAATATAAATGTGTGGATACAGCTCTAATGGGAACTGAAGCCAGATCAGATTAGTAAACAATTGCATGTATACAGACGCACTGTAACCTCTGCACACAACCCTTGGTTGAATGCTTAAATCTACAAGTAATTTTCAAAAATGATCGCTATTGCTTGCCTTGGTCTAACTCTGTGCATAAACCTGCACATCTGGTGGTTGCCTATAGCTAGTCTGAGTTCTCAACAGTAATCAACCACAGTGCTGCTCCACTTACAGATATAATGACCTGCTCCTATTATCTACAGGGACAAAAAAGAGTGGTCTTAGAAAACAGCTTGATGATGACAAACAATGCTCAAAATGTTAACCACCTGTAATTGTCCATTCATTTCTGAACTGTCAGAAGGACATTATGAAGACAATTAAAGGGCACTCAGCACACAGAGAGATTATCCAGCTTTGGAATAACGTCTAGAGCAGAGCAGAAGATCAAAGTACTGTCTGTGAAATGTAGTAGCATGCAATCTTCAAATGTTGTGCTCAGAGAGATATCTACGCATTCAAAAATCACATGTAATCCAAAAAAATTTGCCCATGCTATAATTGACTGCCTCAACCACACGACACCCACTTTACAAAAAGCCGCAGATGAAGAATAAAACTATAAACAACAAAGCCCTTTTCCATCCAATATGTAAATTTACTATTCACCGTGTATGGATGGGACCCTGCAGGCTGTGTAATAGTGCTTGATACCTGCTGAAACAGCAGAGAACAATCCATCAATTAAGAGCATTATGATGGTCCTGAGAACACATAGCAAGTGGATCTGCCCTTTTAGATCCATTAAATTGTCCATACAAAAGCTTTAATTAAAAATCTGCATTAGAAATAGCTTTAAAGAACTCCAGATTAATGATGCAGCCAATTATTTATGGAAGACCAAATATACAAATTAAGGTAATGGCAACAAAACAAATAATACATCCATGCCATCTATTGGCATTTTAATCACACTTGTCAGTCTTGCATGCCCAAGGTGCTGAGCTGAGCAGGAGGTGATAAGGAGATAAGAAAACTGTGTTTAAATGTAACATCAAAACACTAAAAAAAAAAAATATTTTCTAGCAGTTATACCTTTATCGATAAAAGAGTGTTGTGCAGATGTGAAAATTGTATTTTACCCCATGAAAGCAGAAGATGGATAAATACAAATAAAATCTGACAAAATATTTATGACGTACCTCTCCTGGACGAATCTTAATGAAAAAGCTACTTCTTTTGTATGAGATTTTTAACACTTTGGGCCATGGGAAGCGGTTGATCCTCAGGTTGTCCTTGAAGACGAGGAGACCTCCAGAGCAAACTCCAAGCTTAATATCTACACCCTCCAAGTCCTGAAAAGCACAACAGGTTAGCTTACCCTTGTCACTCTGAAATACTGTGCATGGAACAATACTATATAAAAGCTGTACAACAGTGCAGAGCATTTAATCTGGTAGAGTAAAACCAAAGCTGATAAGATACAAGCACTTTTTGCCTGGATTTTCCAGCAACGCTTAGAGCAGAACGCTGGAAAATATAATAATTTACACACTATACTAGGTAAATGATCATTAAAAAGATGCCTTCTATGTGTAAAGGGCTGCTGCAAAATATAAAATCTTACCTTTCAAGCTTGCCAGCTCTTACAAATAATGCTGGTCTTCCAGGTACTGAGGGGAGTGAGAGGTGCAACTTGAGCAAAGTGTTCCCCACTACTTACCTATTCACAGAAAAATAAAAGACGTTCTGTTATTGGAGGAGGAAAAGAGGGGGCAAATATCATCTCTCCTTCTCCAATCACAGAACGCCTTATATTCTGTGATAAAACTACAATGCATTTTGTAAATGGACAAGTAGTGAGGAAGGTTGGGCATGGGACTGAAGCACTTCACTGCTCTAGTCACATCTCTCATTCCCTGCAGCACCCAACAGAGTTAGCCCACATTCACATATGAGCAACATAGAATATGTGCATTTTTAGCACGTTTTGTGTAGCACAAACCCAAGCACTTGGTACTGATGAGTCATAGGCTGCCAGGTGATCAATTCACTGTATGCAGGGAGTGAAACAGTACCGGAGACCATATGATCCACAATATACTTTAAAAGCAGCAGTAGTAGCAGGTGAAGATGCTTTCTCTTAAGCTTTGAAACAGGAAAGGAGCACATGCAACACTATACCTTGTGGATGACAACAACACTAAGGCCCCATTCACACTCCGCGATATGCAAATCGCGCGTTTGTCGCGCAATTTGCATTTTGCGCGATATCGCGAGATTTGCCGCGCGATATCGCGCAAATGCTTGCATTGAAAGCATTTGAATCGCGGCAAAATCCGCTCCAAAAAGGGTCCTGCTGTAGCGACACACGACCCGCGACAGCAGGACCCTTTGCCCCATTGAGAAGCATTGGAGAGCGATATCGCGCGGTAAATTGCCGCGATATCGTGGGAATTACCGCGCGATAAATCGCTCTATGTGAACGGGGTCTGAGTTCCCTCAAGCATGACTGTTACTATAGTACAAAAGGTGGGGAGGTTCTTTTTTAAAAAAAAAAAGGTGCCCAACGGTCAAAACAGTGAGCTAACTGTGGTTAGTGCAGCCCAACTGGCCATACTCAATAAACAAAGAACTCAGAAGTGTCATAAAGCAGGGTCCATTGACACACACACAGTAGATATGGTCATATATCAGGATATCCTAACCACAAATCTCAGAAAGTGAGACTGCAGAGACTGGGTCACAACAGAAGCTGTGCCACAACTGTGGAAGAGTGCTTTGCGGCTAACTGGCACAGTACGCAAGGGCCTGGAAAGTGCCACAATCTAGAGCGCAGTGACCAAAGGTGACATAGCAGGTTATCTTTGCCACTTCCAGAGGTTTACTTACACAGAGTGTCATCAGAGACCGGGTTACACCAGAGGCTGTACCACATCTCTGAAACTGGATAGAGCTCTGATGCTAACTGACATAGTACACACAGGTCTAGATAGCATCACAGTGCAGAGGGCAGTGCTTAAAGGTTAAATTCTAGGCTAGCTTTGCCCTGTCCATGGGCTAACTCAAATAGTGATTGTCCAGAAACTGTGTTACACTAGATGCTATGCCAAAGCTTGTAACCTAAAAAAGCTAGGCATAGGCAGCTAACTAAAGCTTGGTACACACGGATCGAATATTAAAGTGGCCATACGTGCAGCAGTTCATGATTGACAAACATGTGATTTCTCATTGATTCAAATATTGAACGATGGAACACCTATTCTATTGTTAGGAATTTGCTTATCCACAGAAAATATTGAACAAAAATATGATCTATCAGTTATAAAATGTAAACTCAATCTATTCAAAACGATCACTTATTCGATCTGGCATACAATCAGTTCTCCGAGACACAGATATTTGACCTGAAGCATTCCACAAATTCCATCACAGCCGATCATCTTGGCAGACTCATAATCGATCAAGTGTTCGCTAAATTAACCCAATACAGGCTCTTTGGTTTGCGGTTTTTAATTGATTTGATTATTTTTTGCTGCATTGAATAATCGATTGTATGATCATACGGATATGTGGGGTGGGGAAGGGCACCTATAGACCGAGAGAAACCTGCTTCTCACATTCCCCCTATAAACAATAGTGAAACCCAACTCTGCTGTAGTTAATATTTCAGCAATAGCTGAATTGAACTTTAGTCTTATTGAACTGAAACGTAAATGTGTCAGTCATTCAGAATGTGTATTTCAACTTTAAAATTATGTATATCATTAACAATAATGCACGACACATACCTTAGCATGGTGAATATCCACGCCATACATTGTCAGCTTTTTGGCATTTTCCAGAAACTCCAGGTCAGACTGGGCAGGAGTCATTGATCTGAGATGTAAAAAAAAAAAGTTACAAGATCACTGCAATATAATTAAAAATACAATCAATTTAGTTAAAAACTAAACTACAAAGAACTTGTAGTTTAAAGAAACATAAACTACAAAGAACTACAAAAATAAAAAATAAATACATTTTGTATGTGCGAAAACTATTTTTGTGACATATGTCTCTTTTCAGGGCCACTGCTGGAGGCTAAGGATTATAGTTATTGGCCTTAAAGTTAGCCCATAATCAGTATAGGTTCTGAAAAAATGATATTGGTCCATCCCTACTAACTAGAAGTCTACGTGGAGAACCTCTTTACTGTACCCTGTAGATGCCCACTGTCTGAAAGTTGTCATCTTCACAAGTCTAACTGACACCTTAATATTTGTTGGTAAAATGAAAAAAATCCCTACCAAAAATATAATTCTTAACCAATTATAAATGCCACTGATCTAAGTTGCCTGGTCTCACCTGTAAGACTTGTGCAGTTCTGCAACTTTAGCCTCCAGATCCTTGGTCTGATTTGGGCTCAGTTTAAACTCACTGACATATTCTGTGCCATGTAGATCTTCATCATAGTCTCCCACCTCAGATTGAACTGTGTAAGAACCCAAAAGAGCAAGAGTGGCAAAGGAACATGGCAAGCGCCCAGCTAAAATATCTTGTCGCAGCTGGAGACACAGGTAATACCTAGGAAAGGAATTGAAAATCAAATGAGTGTATATGGTACTTTATTTAGAAATTTTAAAAAAAGGACTACAAACAAAAGTATAGTTTATGATACAGTTAACTGAGTTCAACTACCCGTTAACACTCACAGGGAGCACATTATGCAGTGTAGAATAGTGTTCAGAGATGCAATGCCACACTGTATATACTAACCTGACTTGTATTGGACCACCAGAACTAAAGAACATAACCCTCTGAGAGTGTCCATAGACATGAACAATACAACTGATTTCATTTTTTTTTTACTGAGGCAAGGAAACAGACTGTTGTTAGCAGGTTAGTGGCAGGGTTACAATGGAAGTCGGGTTTTCTAACTTGCCTGAATGACTGTGCTCAACAACAGCAGGTGGGGGGCATCTAATCTTAACAAACTGAGCCATTAAAATTCTCCTGCATATTTTAGGCCTTCATTTTTCAGAACTCACTTAACACAAGCCATTACAGTTTCAAACAATTTAAAAGAATCACTTTAAATGTGAATATGGGAAAATGGAATTACCCCCACCAACGTGCCCAAATGGCGACCGCTCATTGGTCAGGAGACTGTGCTGACCAATAAGAAGTGCTTCTTGCTAAGAACTGCTTCTCACTGGTCAGCAGTGTTTCTCATGTGACCAATGAGTGCTCACCATTTATGAGTGTAATTTGAAGAACGCTGATCTGCTGTGTAGGGACCCACATCGGCAGCCGCAGAGGCGGAAGTAGCGTTCATTGACAGGTAAGAGCACCGGGGATGGGGCGGTGGGTAGATTTGGTTGGGGTTGGGCAATAATTCCATCATTCCAAATTTGCCTAGGAAAGTGAAATTACCCTTTAAAAGTCACCAGTGCTCTTAATACAGTAAAGAATTTCAGTTTATTTTCAAACGTACTTTAAAACTAATAAAAGGCTCTGGTGAGCCATTACCTGGTAATATCTTCTGTAAGCTGAGCAGGATCAGGTGGATAAAACTTCACATTGAAGGTAAACTCCCATGGAGCACCTGTAGAAAGAAATATTTTAATATAAAAAAATAAGCAAATGTGTTGCAATCATATTCAGATGAAGAACACAGAGGAGCAACAAGTACATCTGTGCCACAACCCATATTTCCCACCAATACCCAATCATTGACGTGTATGTTTATTTGCACTTTCTTTGTTCATTTTACTCCTTAATAAGCGAGTTTTTCTTTATTATGTGAATTTAAGGAGAATTATGGGGTGAGCGAAAAACACTCATCCCCTTAACCACTTCAAGACCAGGTGTTTAGACCCCCTTCCTGGCCAGGCCATTTTTGAGTATTCAGCGCTGCGGTACTTTGACTGACGTTTATTCCGTCATGCAGCGCTGTACTGAAATTAATTTTATACCATTTTTTGGGGACAGATAGAGCTTTATTTCGGTGGTATTTAATCACCACTGGGGTTTTTATTTTTTACTATAATTAGGAAAAATTACAGAAAATTTGGGGAAAAAAAAGTTTTAACATTATGTTAGGAAACATTTATTATTACCCAGTTTTTTGGTAAAATATAAAAGATCGGGTCACGTCGGGTAAATAGACACCAAACATGTCAAGCTTTAAAATTGCGCGCACCCGCGAAATCGCAGAAAATTACCGTACCCAAAATTTGCTATGGGCGACGCTTTAAAAGCTTTTACCGCTCAACAGTTTAGTGTTATCAGTGATTGATGGCCCTACAATTATTGCTCTCACTGCGACGTTCGCGGCGATATGTAACATGTGCGGCGTAATCGTCTTTTTTGCACGTATGCGCCCCCGACGCATGTTTGCATGCGTGTATGTATGGGTGGGGACTTAAACATTTTTTTTGTTTTTTTATTCTTTTTTATGGTGTAACTTTAAATTTGGGGGGCGGGGGACTTAATTTTTTTTTCACTTTTTTTTTCCCCACTAAACTTTATTGCTATCACATACGGGGGCTAATAAAAACCCCTCTATGTGATAGCAAAATATGTGACAGGTCCTCTTTATGGAGACATCAGGGGTCTCCAAGACCCCTAATGTCACCTAGG